GCCCATTTGCTTCACAGTCCACCTGTGTCTACACCTAAGTTACACCCAGGAGGCTGGAAAATGAACAGAAAAGCTCGTTTCAGTAACTACTCCTTGAAAGGAAGGTCCTTCCCAAGCAAAAACTGCCGCGGAGGAAATTCCTCCAAAGGAAATCGTGGGACAGAAAATCCACATTAACAGGGAAAAACAGAGCAGAAAGATGTTGTTATTCCCGCTGAATTTATAGGGGATCTCTCCCTGAGGCACCCAAATCTCCGAACACCTCCCCATTATTACACTGCGAGGGCTGCCATCGAAGGTACCCATGTGTGAAACTCCCTTTGCTTTCAAAGGCAAGCAGCTCTCCTGGAAGCCCGCTGCAGTCGGCAGGAACAGACACCCCGCGTCCGTGCCAAATAACACCGAAGAGGAGCGGAGAGAGAAGCAGGGAATTGGCTTCCTCGGGATGCGGGCCAATAAAAGCTGTAATAAAGCCGAAGGAGCTCAGCCCCGGAGCAAGGGAGGATTTAGCAAGATTGTTTAATTGATTTTTCTTCTATTAAGATGCAGATCACAGCGTCTGGGGCTCCGGCGCGCAGACGCGCCTTTGTGTCCCCTCAGCTCCATGAAGTCCCCCGTCTGAAACCCGCACAATGCCCAACTCGCCTGCGCTCAAAGCCATGCTGTTCCTTTTTGTCTGGGCCTCTCGGGGCTGAGCAGGGTGAGGGAAGGCAAAATCCTCCCCGCTGCTGCCTGAAGGCTGGGCTTTAGTGAGGAGCTCAGGACTCGGGAGGGAGACGGGCTCCAAGGCAGCACAAAGCACAGGCTCTGACTCCGGTTTGAGACTCTCCAAACACCCCCAAGCCCCTAAAAATGAATGGGAAAGGCACGTGGTGCCTTCAGCCCTCAGCTGAGCAGCCACCAGTGCCTCGAGCTGCCGTGCTGCAGGAGTGACATTAAACATTAGGTGTGTGTTTGCAAGCGCCATCACAGCAGCCACCACTCTTCCTGCTCCACAAGCACAACACCCTTTTGTCTATCCCGCCTAGAATAAAAGTAGCTGGTTCACACAAGTAAGAACAGACCAAATCCAGCTGCCTCGCTGCTCAATTTCAGTACCAGGCCATTTTTTCCCCCCATATACTTGCATTTCCCCCCCCAAACTTAAACCAAGCAAACCCTAACTCGGATATATTCATTTCCAAAAGGCTCTGGGAGGCAAAGGTTTCTTCTTGTACCAGCCACCCCATTAGACATCTGGACGTTAGTTGACTGTAATTGATTAGAGTTTGTGATTTAATTTAAAAGCATTCTAAAGAAGATATTAATCTCTGAGCTCTGAAGGGAAGAGAGATGTGCTGGGGAGAAAAATAGATCTAATTCCCTGGACAACTGTACTAAAAGGTACCCTTGAATTCCCAGCAGCTTTGTCATAAACCGCAGCCAGAAGTGACAAATAAGGAAGAAGGGGATAATGTGGCAGCACTGGCCCTAGGTAATGCTTTTACAGCAAGTGACCTTAACTCCTTCATTCAGCTGGGCCTCTGGCAGGAGTCTGGCTCTGCTCCTCGCCTCTGCTGGGGTGCAGGATGAACATGCTCCTGCAGATGTGCAGCTACAAGTGGCATAAACTGATGGAGCATCCCGTGCTGCTCCTCAGCAGAGAGGAGGCTGGATCCGGAGGGACAAACACCACCTGGTCCCCGCCACCCCATGCCTCCTGCTTTGCCTGCTGCAGCCCAGCACCAAAAGCAGAAGGAACAGAGGGGAAGAAGCCAAGGGCAGGTCAGAGTCCTCAGACCCACGGTGGACTTGACTCTGCAGTGCACTTGACTCCACAGGCTACCAGGGGAAAGTCTCATTGCAGATGAGGCTTGGCTTAAAGGTTAACCAGCTCCCCCATTCCAGCTGAGAGACAAGCACAGCAGTTCTCCTGGGGTTGTTTATTCAGGGCAGAGGAAGAGCCCAGCTCCCTGCCCTGTTTAACAGCTTCCAAACCCCGGGGCTTAGCCTACAGATTCCTTCCTTGCCTGAGCTACACTAACTCTATCCCATTACGTTCTACTAGCTCAGGGATTGCTTTTGGAGTAGTGAATAAAACATCACCTGACCATCTGGAGCGAGCTGCTCACAGGTAACAAAGTGGGAAGACAAGTTCCAAAGGAGCCACACACCAGAGCCAGAAGGGGGATGTTATCAGCAGGGCTCTCTGGTTTAACTTGCCACAAACAGAGGTACGTGGAGGGTTACCTGAACTGCAATCCAACTGGCGTTGACAGCGTGCTCTCCAAACGGACCAAACCCTGCAAGAGAAGGAAAAAGCCACAGTGGTGAAGTCATCCCAACAGGTTTGACTCAAGTGAAAGGTGCAAAATGGTTCTGTGCTTTCCTGGTATAGAGAGCCTCAAAAAAAGCCCACTTCTAATGCCCGAGCCTTATTTACCTTCCATCCAAGCACTAAGAGACCTCCACAGCCATGACTGAACCGTACACCTTGTACTCTGAGCTTGCCTCAAAAGAAACTCCTTTTTCCCTAGCAGACACTGGGGCAAGTGGATTTTCCCCTTCCTTGACCAGCTTGGAAGAACTTGGTCCAAACAGAGAAGTTCCCTGATGTCACGGAATTAGAATCCTGATTGGATTTTCTATTCCTGATTGGTTTAGGCCACAGCAAACGCTTCCACAAATGGAGACAAGCCTGGTTCAAAGAGTTATTCAGATCTTCACCATGATCTCTGCCAGCATTAGTTCTGCCTTAGGAGGAAACGGGCTCTCTGGACACTCACCTCCAGCAAGCAGGAAAGGTTATGATAACATTATCAATGCCATTTACTCGCCACATCTTGATTTCCTAATGAGCAACTCAGAGTTAACCAGTAACCCCCAACATCTCCTCCTGAGCAAGCACACAAAGGTTGGGCAATTCATCTGGGCACAACGTCGATACGCTTTAATCTGAACTGTCAGAGCTTCCCTGGGAGCCTCATGCCATTAAGAGACATAAATTGTGCCTAACTCCTGAAAGGCTTTGAGAGGGACCACAAATATTATGTGACACATTAATGGAAACGTTCCATTTGCTCTCAATGGCAGGGCTGAGGTTACGCCGCACGCAGGGTTTGCACGGGGTAGGCTCATCCACGCTCATGGGGCTCTTAACAGTCAAACCCATGTCGATATCTGCCCAAAAGGAACGTGCTGAAGGTTTCCACAAGATCCAAACGTCGGGGTTTTCCTGGGAGCAAACCTCCAGTGTTCCCAAGACAAGCTACGACTGCAGCAGAGGTGAACAAGTCCAAGCACTGAACCCCTTCTCGGGTGGTTCTGCAAGTCAGTGACGTCCAGGCACAAGCAGGACCTGCAAAGGCTCCTTGCTAAAGAAACCATGAGAGCCTGAACCCAATGGAATCCAAACACATCCAGCTCCTCCTAACAATCCAGCCACGGGAAGGCTGGAATTCTACAGGTGCCCGCACACAGAACGGAGCCCTCCTGCTCCAAAGTGAACGGGCACCAGCACCACCGTGGGCTACTGCTCCTCTGCCTCATCTCCGGCCTGGATCCTCCCGGTATAAGCAACTTTGTGAGCAGCAGGGAACTCCAGCGAGCATGCCCAGGACTTCCTCCACATCCACAATAGGGCCCTCCAAGGCTCAGGACGGCAGCGGCAGGGATGCCGATGGGATGAGCTCCTTCCCCACTCCTAAACCAGACCCCGTGCCCGACCAGCACCGATCCTCCCCGCTGCAGCTGACGGGAGCCCAGTGTGACAGCACCAGGAGATGATCCCCCAGGGGCAGACCCGAGGAGCAGCGCTGCGCTATAGGAACAGGCTTCCCCGCACACAGCGGGGCAGGAGGCAGGGGAAGCACCGCACGCAGGAGGGGATTGATTCACTGACGCCGGGTTTCTGTTTAGTCACGGCTCCGCAGCGATCCCGGCTTTCCCAAAGCCGGGATCTGCCACCTGCTCCTTCCCTCTCCAAGCGCTCCCTTGCAAAGCCGCTCAGCCTCCAGCGCAACCCGCGATGGCAGCGAGCCCCTCTCGCCCATTCAAACCCCAGCCCTCAATAGTTCCCCCCTCCGCGATCCCCATTTGTCACAGCACTGCCTGCCCCACAAATCAACCCGGCGCCCTTTGTACCCCGGGGAAAGGAGCCTGACAAGCTCCCGCCTGCGACGCTGGGGCCTCCCGTCCCCTCGCGTTCCCCTGCGCATCCTTCCCCCGGGCCCCGGGGGCTGAGCGCGGTCCCGGCTTCCCCTCGCCCATGGCTCAGGATGGGGCGGCCGGAGAGCACAAGCCCCCTCCCGCATCCCCGCCGCTTCTCCCCACTCCTCCGCAGCCTCAATCCCCTCCTTCCCCCAACCACGCACCCCTGGGGAGGGTCAGGGACTGGGAACGGGGGGTCCCGACCCTCCCCCCCCCAATGGTTGAGCACCGGGGCAGCGGCTGCGCGCCCCTCACCGAACCCAACCACAGCTCCCCCCAGCCCCGCTCCCGCTCCTCACCCCACACCCCCCTCCATGAGGGCTGCCCCCCCCCTCTGCCAGGACCCCCGTGCCTGGCCCGCTCCCCCCGTACCGGTCACCACCACCGCCCGCCGCGGCTTCTCCATCGCGCTCCGGTCCCGTCCCGCCGTCACCGCCCCGCACTGAGCGCCCGGCCCCGCCCCGCCCCGCCCCGCCACCACCGAGCGCGCTCCGCCCCGCCGCCGCCACCACTACCATAGAGTGCGGTCCGCCAAGCTGCCTAGAGCGGCCCATACACAGCACTTCCGCCAACAGCGCGGAAGTCGCTCGGGGAGACGCGCCGGGGCTGGGCCTGGAGCTTCTTCACCGCTGAGCGGTGCCCTCCGGGGGGAGCTCTAAGAAGCTCCGGCTCGACCCAAGGTGGGGGGGTGGAAAAGGCACGAACCGGGATCCGCGGGTAACGGGAAACGGGCGCGCCACCGCTTCCCTCCCGCCCGCCACCCCCTCTATTTACGGCGCTGTCGTAAAGGCGCGGACCGGAACGGTCGTGGTGTTGCTTTGCGGCCGTATGCCGTGGGTGCTCTGATTGGCTCCGCTGTGAGCGCGCGGTGCTCTGATTGGCTTCGCCAGGGCAGCGCCGCGCTCTGATTGGCCCCGCGAGGGGCCGGGGGCGGTTTGAGCGGCAGCGACCGGCGCGGCGGTGGCTCCGGCACGATGGTGAGTGGCGCCGGGGCCGGGACCGTGGGGTGGGAGGGCCCGGCGGGCCCGGCTCAGTCTGCGGCCATGCCCTGCCCCGCCCCGGGCCCCTCCGGTACCTGAGGCCTCTCTCTTCCCCCCGCAGCTGCCCCTGTCCCTGTTGAAGACGGCGCAGAACCACCCCATGGTGAGTACCGGCAGCGCGGCCCAGCCCCGGGCCCGCTCCCCTTCCTGGCCCCAGCGGCACCGGTACCGGTCCGTGTGCCGGGGCTGCGCCGTGACCCGTGTGTCCCGCAGCTGGTGGAGCTGAAGAACGGGGAGACGTACAACGGGCACCTGGTGAGCTGCGACAACTGGATGAACATCAACCTGCGGGAGGTCATCTGCACGTCCCGGGTAAGGCCCGGCCCCCGAGCGGCCCCGCGGGGCCTCCGCCTGAAAGCCGTGTTTACCGTGGGTGGTTTATAGCATCCATAGCAAAGGCCGGTGTGCTCCTGCAGGGCAGCGCTGTCCACGGCACACAAATGCTCTGTGAGCCTCTCCTAGAGCTATCGAATCCCAGTCTGGTTTGGGTTGGAAGGGACCTTAAAGCTCCCCCAGTTCCAACTCACTGCCACGGGCAGGGACACCTTCCCCTAGAGCTTTTCCCCTGTGAGAGGGTTCTCAGCGTAGGGCTGGAGGCCCCGTGCTGAGATGGGTGCAAGGATGGAGCCTCTTCCATCACGTGCTGTTTGAGAAGCAAAGTCTGCTTCAAGCCCTGTGCTTAATTGATGTACTTGCTCCTCTTAACTCTCCCCAACAGAGGAGGCTGTTGTTTCCCTGCTCTGCACTGTCTGGTACTTTTGCCCTTGGCCAGAGTTGCTCCCGAAGATTGTGATCAGTGTTTTGGGCTTTGACCTCAGCCAGAAGTGTCTGGTCTTGTCTCTGCCAGGTGTCTGCTGAGAGGAGCAGCAGCTGGGTGGATGCGAGAGCCTGGCAGAGCTCCTCGTGCTCCTGAAAACCTCTCTGCAAACCCCCAGGAGCTGATGTTGTGAGCCTGGAGAAGAGAAGCTGCATGGAGCCCTCAGAGCAGCTTCCAGTGTCTGAAGGGGGCTACAAGGATGCTGGGGAGGGATTCTTCATTAGGGACTGTAGTGGTAGGACAAGGGGTGATGGCTTCAGACTGAAACGGGAAGTTCAGGTTAGATCTAAGGCAGAAGCTCTTCCCTGGGAGGGTACTGAGGCACTGGCACAGGGTGCCCAGAGAAGCTGTGGCTGCCCCATCCCTGGCAGTGTTCAAGGCCAGGTTGGACACAGGGGCTTGGAGCAAGCTGCTCGAGGGGAAGGGGTCCCTGCCCGTGACGGGGTTGGAGCTGGATGAGCTTTAAGGTCCCCTCCAACCCAAACCATTCCATGCTTCTATGACAGTGCTGGGGCACAGAGGCGCGTTTGATGCAGTGAACCACCCCTTGAGCAAGGTTTGAGAGGAACCTTTGGGGCTAAGAGATGGAAAACGGGAGCAAACCCTTCCCTGTGCCCGCGCCATGGGTGCCGCAGGGATCTCCAGGCATCCTGGCAGCCTCTGCCCGCCTTGAGATACCCGAACGCCTCCAAAGGCCGGGTGGAAGCGGGAGCTGGAGCCGCTCCGGGGCTGGTACTGGTGGCACTGGTGGGGATTGGCCGCTAGATGGCACGGAGCGGCGGGCGAGCCCCGGCCCCGGCCGGGAGGCGCTTGTTTACTGCGGGGAGGCCGGAACGAGGAAGCGGAGGAGCCTCCTCCGTCCCTTCCCTTACCCCGAGCCAAGGAGCAGCCGGGCGGGCCCGAGGCAGGGCGGGGTCTGGCGGGTGTCTCTTGGAAGGGAGCTGCTTCTGCCTTGTCTTGTGTGCAAAGGACTTGCCCGGGCAGGCTGAGGCGCCCCAAATAACTCCTGGGGTGTGTGCGTGGAACCGTTTCATCCCAGGAGAGCAGGAACGAGGCGTTCCTGCTGCTGCTCCTCGGAGACACCGCAGATGCCTCTTCCACATGCTGCTGCTTGAGGCTGGGCTGGAGCCATCCCATCTGCAGCCAGCCCCTGCTGGAGCTGCGGGACGAGGCGGGTCCCTGTCCCTCCTCCCACTGACATCATGGGCAGCCGAGTTGTTGTTCAGCTCCGTTCCTATTCCCAGAGCCGCTCCCGGGATGCGGGAGCTGAAACCCTCCTAGGTTGTGTCCTAGGAAAGCCCTGGAGCTGGTGCCCAACCCACAAACCCTGTGTGGAGATCCCGGCTCCATAATGGGGCACCTGGAGACTTTCTTTTCTCTATCAAGAACCCACCAGCTCCTTCTTTCCACAGCTGCAGTTGCCCTGCTCTGGTGGTGCAGAGCCCACAGCTCTGGAGCTGCTTCCCTGCTCCATCCACGCCCAGAGGAGCGCAGCAGGGAGGCGACTCCCAGCTGGGGCTGCTGGAGGACAAACCCAGCCGTGCCTTTGCTGCAGCTCTGGTTTCTCTTACCCGAGCTTTTGGAGCTCCCCACGTTGGCCTCTCCAGCCCCACTTTTGATTCCCTTTCTTAGAAGGGAAGGTGCTCGTTTCCTCAGCCTCCTCTTCTTCTGCTTGCAGCAAGTGTCAGAGGCAGTGAATTGAAAGTGCAGCCGCTTGTGGCTCAGTGCCCTCCCCAGCCTGCAGGGCTGCATGTTCTGGAGGGAAAAACCCACCCTTTTGTGCTCCTGCTTTCAGATAATGCTCCCCAAAAAGGTCTCTGGAGCTCTCACACACTCCAGATGTGATGGAAACCCTCAAAATGCCCCAGAAGTAGATAGCCAAGCCCCAGGTTTTGTTTGTAACCCAGTGTGTTGCTCCCCAATAGGATGGAGACAAGTTCTGGAGGATGCCAGAGTGCTACATTCGTGGCAGCACCATTAAATACCTGCGGATCCCCGATGAGATCATTGACATGGTGAAAGAGGAGGTGGTGTCCAAGGGCAGAGGCCGTGGTGGGATGCAACAGCAGAAGCAACAGAAGGGCCGTGGTGTTGGAGGTGCTGGACGAGGTAATGCTCCTCTTTGGTTTTCAGGGCAAGGAACGGCTCCTGCTTCCCAGCTTGAACCCCAGCTGCGTGGCTGGGAGAAGCTGGAGCCGCTCCAGTGCAGGATCTGGTCCAGTTCATGTGTGTTGCCTCGCTTGTGAGGCAGCTTCAGGGAAGGATTCGTGCCAGGGATGTGCCTCCCTCGTTCCTGGGGTTGGGCAGGAGCTTAAGAGAGTCTGAACTTGACTCTTCCTACCCCTCCTGGCTGGTTTGGGAGCGTGGCTCGACGAGCCTGGTCTCTCTTAGCTTAGAGAGGCAGGGAGGGGAACAAATGGCTGCTGTTTGGAAACAGACTGAGCTCTGACGGTGGCACTGATAAAAACCCATCAGCTTCCATCGGAATGGTGCTTTGGATCTCCTGCCTTGTTGGTTGATTTATTGTCTATCCCAGGGGCTGTGCTTCTGCTGCTCCGAGTGAAGAACTCGTGCTTCTGATCAAAGGGGAGGTCGCTGCTCGGGAAGAAATAGGTCACAAAAGCAAACTCTTCCTTCCCTGTGCCACTTCCTGGGCTGAGCTGAGCTCGGGGCGCTTCACCTCAGGGATGGGTTGTTCTTTCCTCCCCAAATGGCCCTGCTGGAAGCCTGAGAGCTGTTCCTCTCCTTGCCTGCTCGCCCCTCCTGCCGCATCCTTGCCATTCGCTTTGTGGTCACGTCGCTCAGCCCTGGGGTCACTCTTGGGCCAGGCTTAGCCTGCAGTAGGAGCTTCAGATCCTGAGTGTGCTCCCTTGCTCCAACGCCGCTTGGGAGATGCTGGGGTTTGGAAGGAGCCTTGAGGCCTGAGCCATGATTGAGGTCTCTGCAGAGCACCCTTCAGAAGCCACCTCTGCAAGGAATCCCAGTGGGAAGCTGGGCACTACCTGGGGCCATCCAAGGACCTTGGGGAGGGGAAAACCCTGGAGCCTTGTGCTGCCCTGGGACCTCCTGGCAGCTCCCAGCACATAGAAGTGACCTTTACAAAGCTGAAGGCGCCTTTCTTTCCCCCTCCTTCCCTTTCTCCCTTTGGCAGAGCAGCTTTTTTGGATGTGGTTACTTGGACAAACAGTTTGCCTGCTCTGTTTTCTCTGCTGTGGAAATACCCACCTTGGGAGAGCGGAGCAGAGCCCTGGCTCCGTCGGAGGTGGAGCTCCCTGCTGCTCTGATGTGCAGCCTCAATGTGCTGATGGAATATGTTAAAGGGAAGCTTTGGTATTTGCTAATTAGCTCCAAGCTTTGGCTCCCATTAGTGAGACATGAGGAGAGGAAGGGGGAAAAAGAAAGGCAGGACGCGTTGGTTGGGAGGCCAGCAGGCAGGAGGGAAGCTGCAATTGAGCACGCGCTTGAAAGGATTATTGTTCCTGACACTGGGAATCCTTCTGGCTTTTACTTCTCAGCTTGCCAAAGCTAGGAGTGGGGCAGCCTTAGCTCAGCCTCACTGGGAGCATCCCCAGCACTGCAGGGTTAGGAGTCATCCTCTGCCTCTGGTTGAGGCATGTCCCCTCCATGGAGTGAGCAGAGGGCTCTGGAGAAGCCCTTGTGCCTGGTGCCTGCCCTGGGTCTCCTCTGGGCTCTGCCTCGTGGGCTTGGGTGGATCCAGAGCCCCTCGAGCACCGAGATCAGCGTCAGTGCCTGGCACTGCTGTGGGGCTGGGGTGACTCTGCAGGGAGGGGGGCCCAGCGGTGGGTCCCAGGGCAGCTCCTGCAGCCAACCCAAGTGCCCCCCTTCCTTGTTTCAGCTTGCAGGGGACACACATAGAACCCACTCATCCCACTGCTCTTAAAACACTGCTGCTTCCATGGATCCATTTCTCAGGAGTTGATTCAACAGAGGGTGAGGGCACGGCTCTAGGGCAGGGAACAGACCAGGGAGGTACAGCTGAGGAGGGGGAATCCATTGATGCACCTTATAAATCCAGGCTGTGGAATGGAGAAGGCAGAGATGTAAAAGTCCTGTTTCTAAGGCTGGAAAAAGAGGGGAGCACATGGATAACTACAGCTCCGGGCAGCTGGGAGACGTTGCAGTGATGCTCTTACCCCCTGCTCTTTCTTTCTGCCCCATAGGTGTCTTTGGTGGCCGTGGCCGAGGGATCCCAGGCACCGGAAGAGGCCAGCAGGAGAAAAAGCCAGGCAGACAAGCAGCAAAGCAGTGAGCTGGGCCGGGGCTGCGATGCCCATGGGGTTTCCACCTCAGGATTGCCATGTGTTCAAAAGTGTCCCCTTCCTCCTCTTCTGCCCATCAAGCCGGGCCCAAATCATGTCCTTTGGAAGCCCCTCTCACAATTTCATGTGGTAAAAAGTGGAGTTATTTGCTCCTTGTAGTAGGCAAATCATTGGATTTACTTAAACTGCCCCATCCCCGCTTCAGGAGCTTTGGTTCTGCTGCTCCTAGGAGTGAAAATACTTTAGTTTTCCAGGCTCCCCAGTTTCATTGGAAGGATGATCCTGTTCCGTGGTACCAGATCAAAGGCAAACAAACGCCTTCTGGACGGTCTGGAATCTTTCTTTTTATACTTGAGACTCGTTGCATTTGTACCAGACGGGAGTGCTTTGGGTTGAAAACACCCAACTCCAGGCCCTTGTATCTTTCTGTGAGTAGTCTTAAGGGTTTGGGGTGGTTTAGAAACAGCCAACCTGGAAGCTCTTGATTGCTTCTCTTCCTGGCCAGTCCCTTCTGTCTCCCTCCTATGGCTTAAGGCAGGACTCGGGACAAACGTTCCTTTGGCCTTCAGGGGTTGTTCCCAAGAGAACTTGGTGATAAATGAGCATCTCCCAGTGAGCGTGTGGCTGAGTTGACTTCAGAGGGAAGTTCCCTTGGATGGAAAAGGCTTTTCTGGGATGTTTGTGTCCCCAACTCTGTTATTTCCCTCTTATTTCCCTTATTCCCCCCACACACTTTGCAAACTCGGTGACACAAAGTCCCGAGCGCTGAGATTTCTCCAGCTCATTCCCAACACCTGATGATTCCCTTCCCTCCACCTCCTCTTCTCCTCCTTTTCCAGTCCCTGGGGACACAGGCCAGGCTGTGAGCGTGTCCCAGCCGCAGGTTTGGGAAGCTCCTGGGAATTCCCAGCTCAGGGTATTCCCGTCTTGCAGCCCACGGGGCCGCAGGGTCCCATGAGGAAAACGCACCCACAAAACATCCTGGCTGACGGGAATGGAATGTGGGGAAGAAAGAGGCTCTGGCCTTGCCTCTGCCCCCTGAATGGGTGAAAAAGCTTAATTTTAGGGGGAAAGCTGATCTTGTGACTTGCTCTGAAGAGGTTTTGGGGTGGTTTCTGTTGTTTTGGGGGGTTGCACACCTGATTCCCCCCCCATTGGAGCCTGTTCTCTGCCACTGCTCCGAGGAGGAACATGCTTTTATAGACTTATTTTTTTACTGTTTCTAGAACTCCGTGGTAAGCAGGAATAAACCAACCTCTGCCAAGCGGTTCCCTCTCTGTCTGTACTGGTGCTGAGCCCCCCTGGACCCCAGCCTCACATCAACCCTTGCTGTAAGCAGCAACCCCCCAAGCAGATGGGCTTGCATGGAGCCGCTTCCAGGCGTTGGGAATGGGGCACACGTGTCCTCCTCCCTGCTGGAAACTCACCATCAACGCCCGGGTGGCATTTGAACAAAGCCCGGCCCGAGCCCTGTGTCAGACTTTCCCTTCCCAACCTGCTGCCTCCCTTTCGAGTCCCTCCAGCCACAGAACCTCCCCGTGTTCCTGGTGCATGAGGAAGCGGCAGCGCTGGCTGGATAAAGCCCTGCAACAATGGGGCCTTTGGCTTAGGAACAGGGCAGAGTCCTCCAAGTCTTCCTTATCTCCTGCTTGGAGCTCTGGGCTCGGGCCTGGGAGCTGCTGAGGTTCTGCTGTTGTTTAATGACAAGCCCAGGCTCCTGCAGCCTTTCCTAAAGCCTCCCCCTTCCTTTTTCCACCCCTGGAAGGCCAGCGGGGGACGATCTTCCTTGTGCAGCAGCGGGATGGGGGGGATGATGGCTCTGTCCGAGCAGCATTGAGCATGGGCAGCGCTGCCCCCGTTGCCTGTGCTTTTAGGGCTTTCTGCCCCAAAACGGAGTGGATGGGGCTGCTGTTTGCTGGAAAACCACAGCAAGCCAAGAACAAACCAGGGAGGAGCGAGATGAGAGCCACAACCAGGGAGGAGGAGGAAGGGCTGGGGGGGGGGGGGGGTGTTCAGCCCGGCAGGACCCGGCTGGTTAGGACCCATGGGGGCCAGCGTGGCCCTGTCTCTGTTCCCGGTGCCTTCGTGGCCGTGCCGGTGGCTCCGTGACTCATGGCTCCAGTGCCTCAGCACAGGAATAGTTCCCCAGCAGCCGCTTGTGACGCGGAGGGAGTGGCTGCCCAAATACTTGAAGGCTGCGCTAAGCAACTAAAAATACACGTCAAAGCCTCCTCCTCCTCCTCCTCCCCCTCCCCCTCGTGTTTTCCTCCTTTCTTTATGTTTTTTTTTTATAACGATGATGTTTTTTCGTGCCTGGGTTCACTGTCTGAGGCCCCCGGGGCCATTGCAGCCCCTTGGGACCAATGTGGGGTTGGCTTTTGGGGGCGGGCACTGGTGGCCGCTGAGTCCTTGTATTCCCTGCTCTGTTCCTCTCTCTCCCTGCGGCAGTGACTAAGAGGCAGCTTCCCCTGTGAGCCCCGAGCCCACGGAGCGCATCCCGGGACAGCGACCGCTCTCCCTTGTTCCCTTTATGCAGGAGCAGGGCAATGCGGGTGCACCCATGGTGGCGTGTGGGCATCTCGCGTTGAGGCTGTGGGTGTCCAGCAGTGCTGCGACACCTTGTCTGGTTGAAGCAGGCTCAGGCACCACCAGCATCAAGGAGCTGGGAATGGTCCCATGGGAAGAGCGGGAGCTGCGCGGGGTCCTGCCGCAAGGATGCTCTGGTGCCCGTGGCCCTGGTGTTGCGTGGCTGAGGTCCGGTGGTGGCAGCGGTGACACGGGCTCATCCCAAACCCTCACCGCCTGCTCCAGGGTAAATATATCCCGGCTGGCAGGTGGGAAGCGCAGCGTGACTCAGGGGGTGCCCGGCGCCGCCGGGAATAGCAGCTCCGTCCCCGAGCCGAGGTGACAGTGGCACTGCCACCAGCCCCATGGGCAGCGACCGCCCCGCTCCTGCTCCCCACGCCTGTGCCCTCCCGGGGGGCAGAAGGGGCTGAATCACGGCCCTCATTAAATGCTCATTAAGAAAATGAAGCTGCCGCCTCGCTGCGGGCATCGAGCTGCCACCACCGGTGGTGACTCCGGTTTGGGGACAAGGGACACGTGGGATGAGCACCAGTGGCGATGGGGGGGAGGCGGCAGGATGAGGACAGGGTGTTGTGACCCTGGCAGAGGTGGGGTTTTGCTGGTGGGTGCTGGCGGCTGGGCCCAGCCGGAGCACGGATCATGGCTTGTGGATCGCGGCTCGTGGATCGCGGCTCATGGCTCATGGCTCATGGCTCGCATCCGTGGCCACGGGCCAGCCGCTCTTCCAGGGAGGCCCTGGGGCCGGTTCGTTCCTCCTGCAACTGATTAAAGCACCTTCAGCTGAAGCTGGTTCTCATTTCATCCAGCTGCAGCCCCATTGCGATGGGGGTGCAGGCAGGAGCACATCCATGGATCCCCATGGGGTGCAGGCAGCCCTGTCCACGGGTGCATCCGCACCGGATGGGGACGGATGCCCTGGGGCAGGAGGAGCTGCTCCCCCGGTCCCCATCCATCGCTGTGCCCGGACGGGACGCCAGAACCTGCCGGTCCGGCCGCACCGCTCCCTAATGATGGGCTTGCAGCGGAAACAGGGACAGGGAGCCCGGGCCCAACCCCCCCGGGGCACCGGCACCGGGGCTGGGACAGCCCCAGGGAAAGGCGCTGATTTGGGCTTTAATCAAGGCTTTGGTTGGGGTTCCATCGGCTGCGAGGGGGGGCCCAGCCTTGTCCTGGTTGTCACCGGTGTCCCCTGTGGCCTGAGCCGTGCCCTCATCCGCCACCATCACCTCCCGTCGGCACCGGGTCCCCCCGCGACCCCTCCGGCGGGGGCCGCATCCTGCCGGTGCCGGGAGGGGGGGGGTTATCGGCGGCCATCGGCCCTGACGTCAGCCGCTGACGCCGATCCGCCCCCTCAGCCGCCCGCGGGCCTGGCCGGCCGTGACGTGCGGCGGCCCCGCCGCTTAACCCCTTCCGCACCGCCGGTACCGAGGGGGGGGCCGCAGGGGTCCCTTGTGCCGCTGCATCAGGGAACCGCCGCGGCGGGAGCCCCCCCCCCCTTCCCCCCGTGGTGAACCGTGCGGTGGCACCGCTGTCACCGGGGCACAGCGACGGTAGTGCCGGTGGGACGGGGGGGGGGGGGGCGGCACGCACAGCTCACGGGCTGGCTGCTCCCGGTGTGTTTGGATCATTGACCTCCAGTGCCTTTCACCGGTGCCCATTGCCCGATGTCAGGTCCCGGTGCCCATTGCCCGGTGTCAGGTCCCGGTACCCCTTTGCCTGGTGTTGGTGCCCGGTGCCCCGTTCCCATTGCCCGATGTCAGATCCCGGTGCCCCTTTGCCCGGTGTCAGGTCCCGGTGCCCAGCCCCGGTGCCGCTTTGCCCGGTGGTGGTGCCCGGTGCCCTGTTCCCATTGCCCGGTGTCAGGTCCCGGTGCCGAGCCCCGGTGCCCGGTGCCCCGTTCCCATTGCCCGGTGTCGGTGCCCGGTGCCCCGTTCCCATTGCCCGGTGTCAGGTCCTGGTGCACAGCCCCCGTGCCCGGTGCCCCGTTCCCATTGCCCGGTGTCAGATCCCGGTGCCCATTGCCCGGTGTCGGTGCCCGGTGCCCCGTTCCCATTGCCCGCTGTCAGTTCCCGGTTCCCGGTCCCGGTCCCGGTCCCGCCCCTCCCTTTTGTGCCCATCATCCCCGGCGGGGGGCGCGCGCGCCTTCGCGGGGCCACGTGACCGCCCCCTCCCCCGCCTTGACGTCAGCCCAGCGGCCCTCGCGCTGTTTTCCCGTTTACCCTCCGGTTGCCCCGGTAACGGCGGGGTTGAGAGGGGGGGGAGGGGCACGAGTGGGCGTGGCCCCGCCCCCCTCCCCCCCCCCCCCGCGCGCTCTCGAGTCCCGCCCTCCCCTGGTATGGAAGGGGGGGAGAGAAAAAAGTAGGCGGGGCGAGGACGTCATCTGCAGCCAATGGCTGCTCGGTGCGATGACGTCACCGTGACGGCGGCGCCAATAAAAGGGGGGGCGCGAGGCGGCGCGGCGGCGGCAGTCGCGTGTGCGCGCGCGGGAGCGGGGACGCAGCCGGTGCTACCGGTACCTCCGGTTCCCCCTTTCCCCCCCCCCTTCCCCTTCCCTTCCGGGCTCCTTCCCCCC